TTTCGTTGGTCCATCTCTTTACAGACTTTACTACAGGTTTAGCAGATTTAAGTTTTTGCCTGTAAGTCGGTATAAGATGAACCAGGCAGTGGTCAGAGAGTCCTACAGCTAGGACTCAAATGTCAAAGGAGTCAAATGTCACCTCGTATTAGGAAGGCTAATTTTTGATTATTTTTCAGAAGGTGCTCCTACATTTTTTAATTAGGAGGACAAGCACTCCTAATTACAAGAAGAAAGTGCTCTTAAACTGGGTGTGTGACAGGTAGGCTATGGCTGAGGAATGGGGTTTGGTCAAAGAAAAATTTTCAGTCAAAAGATTTTTTTTGCTTTAACCCCTGCAATATAATAAGAAGTAGAATAAGACAAATAAGTTACCAATCATATGAAATTAGTATTAATAAATTAATTTGTACTACAGAGGTGGCACAGAAGAACACAAAAGTGGCTTGTAGGTACATTTTCAGACGTTTATTGAGGCTCAGAGGTAGCATGAGTGCAATTAAATTCATAAATTCATGTGGAGATTAATGTTTTAAATATAAAATTTTGAATACAGAAATATGATTTAAATTACTGAAATTATATGCTAAAATGAAACTAAATCCGCCAGCAGGTGGCGGCAAGTCACTGATTTTATCACTGAATCATTCATTCAATTGATTCGTTCGAACGGCTGAATCATTCAGAAATGAATAAAGGGGCTGTCTTTATGAACTGACGGAAATCTGTCGTAGTGACGGAACTTTAATCCCCGTGTATGGAAACATGTATTTTACCACAGTTGTAAAGTGTACCTTGAAAATGCACCTTGAAAGTGCTTGAATTTTACTTTGAAAAAGGTGTAAGAACCCTGACAGTATGCACTATTTTATCAGATATGTACGATTAATCGTTTGTAAACCTATGCCAACACAGGAGAATAATGTGCTAACTGTTCATTTTGATTTCAAAACAAAAATTTAAAGCCTCGCTGTTGTTGCTCTCTGCTGGCATTTGCAATAATATGTAATGTACATAAGTTATGTTCTCTTTTGAATGGGAACTTGCACAGCGTGTCTAGAAGACACTACATGACCGGTGTCTGAAGCACAAGTGTAAACACGTCATAGAACTTGATACCGGCCGGTGACAGCTTATGACAGGGGTGCCCAGTCCTGCTCCTGGAAGGCCGCTGTCCTGCAGAGTTCAGCTCTAACCCCAATTAAACACACCTGAAGCAGCTAATCAAGGTCTTACAAGGAATACTAGAAGCTTCCAGGCAGGTGTGTTGGAACTGGTTTGAGCTAAACTCTGCAGGACATTGGCCCTCTAGGACCGAGTACTGGTGCAGCCGTGGGTATAAAGGGGCACCTGAAGAATACGTCGTCCTATTGTCTTCAGTGGCCAGTTGCATAAACTGCTTAGACTAGTCTTAAAAGTTGGTCATCTACAAAATTATGACCAGTCTGGAAGAAATCATTTAAAGTAATTTCCATTAAAAGGTAGATCAGTTTGATTGCATTTGGAAAAGATAAACCGGTTAACTATAAATTCATCAAACTATTTCTTAAGGCACAGTCTTAACATAGTGTATAAGTTGATGCAATTGGCCCCACAAGACCTTTCGTCTGTGTACGAGTGAGGAGCATGCACATTTAGTTCTTGGGAGATGAATGCATGCATTGTGAGGATTTCTCAATTAAAACCTTGTTCACACCATCCCTATATTCTCAAGGGACATGCATTTGGGTGGAATGCCTTCGACTTTTCAAAGAAGCTAGGTAAGATACATTCACAATTTTTCAACTCTCTCTTTAGGAATAGTGCTAGCAATTGGCTGCTAAGGGAGTTGAAGGCACTCACAGCGATGCATTCGTGTCTGTTCTCGGTTCTTTGTCAGATGCAGAACGGTGTGTTGAGACCGCCTTTGAAGTGGAGCATTGCTAGGTCTCCTTTCCTACTGAAGCATTTGCTCCTGGGGAGCAACATCTAGTTATTAGGCTCTCCGTAAGCCTCCCTGATAGCCTCGTCATACTGAGGCTTCAGCCTTTAGAGCTCGTTTAGGTAGTAGTGCCAGGTGGCTAGGTTCTCTGTGATTTTCCTGGGGTGCTTCTTCTAGAATAGAAAGTCACTAGGTCTCTTCATACTATAGAGGGTCGTTCTTTTGAGATGTTCACTTTGGAGACTTCTGCCTGCATAACAACTCTAGGTCACTGTGAGCCACCTTGGAAGATGTCCTGACCACAGAACTTAGGCCTCATCTGGCTTAAGAGAGTCATCCTGCTGAAGCTTCTGTTCTCAGATCTCCAGTCAGTGACATTATTCCCTTAAAGGTATTCTCAGGAATACCAAGCCATGAGCTCTGCCTATGGTTAAGCCTTTTTTAAGAAGGGTTAAGCCAGGAGTTTCTCTGTTATGGATTTTAGCGTTGGTGTATATCTTAGGGACAGGGATTTATTTAGAGGAGTTGAATTTAATGTCTGTCCAGAGGTCTCCAAACTCAGTCCTGGAGGGCTGCTGTCCTGCAAAGTTTAGCTCCAACCACAATTAAACTCACCTGAACCAGCTAATCAAGGCCTCACTAGGCATACAAAAAACTTTAAAGCAGGTGTGTTGGAGCTGGTTTGAGCTAAACTCCACAGAACAGTGGTCCTCCACGACCGAGTTTGGACACCCCTGTGTCAATCAATAAGACACAAATAGCGAAGTGGGTATTTTGTTCCCCATAGCATGCCGTAGAGGATGCAGTGCAAGTTCCCATCTGAAAAGGAACATATCAGGTTACCCAGAAGGGCAATGAGAAACTACGTCTACTTGCCATGCTTCATGTGTTGTGAACATCTGCGAACATCTCCTTCAGATAATAAGTGGATGAAGTGTGCCCTTTTTATACTCAGTCACACCAGTAGTGACATTATAGGCTGTCGCCGGCAAATGTCATGTTCTTTGTTGTGTTTTGTGCTTCAGACACTGGTCATGCTGGTGGCATTTCCCCATAGTGTTATCTAGGGTACGCAGTGTCTCGTTCCCCTTTTCTTACAATAAAATTATTAGATTAACTGTCAAAATAGTCAACCAATTACTCAATTACCAAAAAGGTATTCGGCAAGCCGAAAATCCCTGGCTGTTGGCCCCAATGAAACCCCAAGTAGGCATGTTTAAGCCCCGGTAGTGACAGTGTAAACTCAACTGGCAGAGGCCCTAATACTGAGCCCTGTGGAACTCCATACTTGTGTTTGATGAAACATCTATTTTTTTAACACAAAGTATCAGCAGTCAGATAGATATGACCTAAGTCCTATTCAAAATCTATGTCTATGATCTTTGTTGTCAAAAGTCAAGTCAAGTCAAGTCACCTTTATTTATATAGTGCTTTTAACAATACAGATTGTGTCAAAACGTTACACTGGCCAGATGAAGGAAAGGGGGGATACACTCTGTACAGTGAAGGGAAGAAGGGTGAGGCTCTTGGTAATAAAAGTCCATGGAGGAGCCAACAATCGAGGAGATAACCATGGAGCAGCTGGTGGAAGAATAGCCCATGACAGAGCTGATTGAGGAAGGAGCCAGAGTGGAGGCTCAACAGTTTATCGAGGTGGAACCAAGGAATCGACTGACCAAAGTGGAGACCCAGGCAGAGCCAAAGGAACAAATACCCAGAGTGATCAAGGCGGGTTGTGAGGGATGAGGGAGCCCAGTTGAGCCTGTAGGATGATGGACCACAGTGGAGACGATGGGCCAACAGGCTGCGGTGAAGCCAAGGAATCAAAGCACCTAGGTCAAGCTGAGGACCAGGGTGCCAGGTGAAGCCATTGAAAGGGAGGATGATTTCCTATGGTTGGGACACAGAGGGGGGAGAATGGGTGGGTGGTCCATTCTAGGGTTTGTAGGTCCTTGAGTGGTAGCTCTGTAACCACCAGATTTGGGAACTCAGGGACCAGAGGACTGAGCCCAAGGGATTCTGGAAGTTTGGTAATAGACTATGTAATTTCTGGGGAGGCCTGATTGATGGAAGCAGAGTCCTCCACTTCACCAATGCTCTGGAATGTAATAATCTATATTTAGAATTAGGTGTGCAAGTACAATTTGCTTGATATGAAATCATGGGAAATGAGCAGCTGTGCCTGCCTATTTCTAACGGTAGTAAAAGGTAGTTTGTTGCCTTTGTTCATGACCACTCTTCAAGCCCCAGTTGGCCCGCTTTGGACCAAGGTCAGGGGTAGGCAAGTTCGGTCCTAGAGAGCCGCAGTCCTGCAGAGTTCAGCTCCAACCCTGAAAAAAAACTAAAAGAAAGACTCATATTTAAATGCCAAAAACAGGTCTTGTATCACTTTGGAAGGTACATATGCATATCCTTTTTAGAGTGATTTGACATGAGTGATTATAATAAAGGTATTAATCAAGCAATATTTTACATTTTAAGTATTAAATGTTTCTTTTATGTGTTATATAATTTGAATGATTCCTTTCTAGGGTATGCAACCAAATAAATGATTGAAGTGTTCTTTTTAGGTATTCTCTAATGTCTGCATTTGATGTCTGAAATGCGACTGGTCTTTCCTAGGGATGTGTGATGCATCGTCAAAACTTAATAGTAGACATGCTATTATGTTTGGATTTTAAGGGTATCATCTATCTCTAACATGTCAAGGAATGTAGTTAAATGCTTTCACAAGTTTTGCTGATTTTGCACGGCTTCCAGAGATGAAATATAGATTTGCTTTGAAGAGCCGCTCAACATATGTTAGCACATACATCTATTTTCCTAGCTGACCAGGACAGCTAGGGTAACAGAGGTCACTACAGCTCATGGGATATGAGACAATTTCTTAGTTAAGAGCTTTTCTGGATTTTTCCAAAGAATAAAGATAAATATTGTCTGTTCTTCTCACCAGGGCCAGAACATGTTATCAGTATGTTTTGGGAATCTTTCCTGTTTATAGCAAAAGTTCAGGCCAACTACAACCTTGAAGGAACTGTGAATCTGGTGTATCTGTATGTGTGCTAATGTTTGTGTGCAGGCCCTGTTAACACTGTTGGACCACTGGCATTCTACGTGAGATCTGCCAGAGCCTTTTCACAACCTAGAAGGTCACCATGTGCCTAAATCCAGAGTCCAAGTGTCAGAATCGTAATGGATGGAGACATGGGCGACATTTGACTGTCGAGTCAGGGGGGACAAGAAAAAATGCATACATTTTTGGATGTATGCATCAAAATGTGCTACCATATTGCAACGCATTGTGTCAATACAGCGCAGTGAAGAATAACTTAAAGAGTTTGCCTGCGTTTACTTAACTGTGGAGCTTTTCTTGCTGCTGATTTGAATGCCGATGTTTCCCGTTTTAAATGTCAGTTGATGGCCTTTCATTTTTAACCAGAAATGTACGCGCTGCTTTTCTGATGTTCATTTAAGTTTTCCGTGTCTTTTTCCCATGTCACTTGAAATATGTCCGTTTTGAATCATTGTGGTGAGACACGAGAGAAAAAAATAAACCATCAGTTGTGGGACTATTGTCATAAATCGCATACCATTCATTTCTGAACTTTCTACCATCTGTTACTGGAAATTAAATTACTGGTTGATAAGTCCTGATCTCAATAAAGTTTATGCACGCTTTTAGTCCGTGAACTGGATCTCATTCAGGACGCGTGCTGTCTGTGGAAGTTTGGCCAGGACCGCTTCCAGAATAAATCACTGAGGCATTTTTGTCTCATCCATTGCTTATCACTGATATTTAGAGAAACATATCATTCCCGAAACTTTGCAGCATGTATGTGTTCATAAAACAAAAGTTTAATTCAAATTTTGAATGGATTATAGCCTAGAAAACACACAAAGCGTGCTCCCTTTATTATCACTAAAAGCATCACTCATCAAAGTTCATCGCGATCTCATGCATTTAGTTAGTCATGACATGATTCACAAGCGTGCAAAACTCTGGCGCTTTCAGCGGTGAGTGAATTCTGAAAAACGACAACGTTTATGATTGGTCATTGTGTTGAAGAAATCAACAGATATGTCTGTGTTTGGCTACATTGCTCAATGCCGCAAAAACACATTGGATAGTTTGCCAGATCTTTAATTGCTTGTGCTTTCTTTTGAGGGTATTTAGCACCGTCTAGTACCCTCGTACAACCGGGCCTAGGCTGACATCGGGGATTCAATGACTAACGATATATCGCCCATGGATGGAGATATGCTTCTGTCTGTCAGTCCATGTGTGGAAATTTACTAATTTTGTCAATTCTTTCCTTAACCAGTCAGAATCATTCAACCTGAAGTAATGACGTAGTTAGTAGACTCTGTTAGAATATAATTGTTGTGGAAATGTGAATGGACTCCTCGCAAGTGACTTATGCTGATGAAACTGCAAACTATTTTACTATATTTCTTAATTAAATTTCTCTTTAGTTAATTGCATCTCTGACTCCTGGTCTTAGTTCAACATATCTGGTCCTTGGGTCTTAACTGTACATCCCCTACACTTCAATAATGATAGTGTTTAAATCCTGACTGAAACTGTTCACAAGTATCATTGCAAAGTGAAGGGGACTCTGTTTTTCAAAAAGAAAACGAGTCTTAATAGACTTTTCACCCATTTCCTCCATGTCTGCAGTTATCTTTCACTAGTTGCATTCACTCGTTTCCCAAAGTCATCTTGAATGTTGAATTCTCAATACAACTGAAATATTTGAGAGAACATCACATAAGCTAACTTCATAAATTGATGTTGATTTCAATAAATAGGTTGCTTTTAGAAAATGACCTATCTTCTAATTAAAGCATTAGTGCATTTATTGTGTGTTTATTAATGAACTTTATCATATTTCTTTTTTCATAAATATCCTGAGATGCTTTTATTTGGGTTTATATAATCCTTAAATAGTGTGTGGTAATATGCTAAAGTCACACACAGACTTAAACATTCGGCACGTGAATCACAACAATTGTAACAATTCAATTTCATTTATTTTCATTACTTGTAACAATAACCATTTTATTTGCTCTTTTTGTTGTGCTACTACTGACACAAGACAGCAAATAAAATTGTCAAATAAAATCAACAACTGTATGAACACATGAAAATTCACACTAGAGAGAAGCCATTCACATGCCAGCACTGTGGAAAGAGTTTCACACTAAAAGGAAGCCTTAATGAACATGTAATCATTCACACTGGAGAGAAGCCGTTCACGTGTGATCAGTGTGGAAAGAGTTTCACTAAAAAAGGTAATCTTAATAAACATGTAACCATTCACACTGAAGGGAAGTTGTTCACATGTGATCAGTGTGGAAAGAGTTTCAGATATAAAGAAACACTTAAATCCCACATGAGAGTTCACACTGGAGAGAAGCTGTTCACATGCCAACACTGTGGAAAGAGTTTCACAATAAAAGGAAACCTTAATGAACACATCAAAATTCACACCGGAGAGAAGCCGTTCACATGCCGACACTGTGGAGTGAGCTTCACTAAAAAAGGAAACCTTAATGAACACATCAAAATTCACACCGGAGAGAAGCCGTTCACATGCCAACACTGCGGAAAGAGTTTCGTTAAAAAAGGAACCCTTGATCAACACATAACCATTCATTCAGAGAAGCCATTCCCATGTGATCAGTGTGGAAGGAGCTACAAATATGAAGAAAGCCTCAAGTCCCACAAGAGAGTTCACACTGGAGAGAAGAGAGAACATTCAAGAGAGAGCGGTTTTGTGTGTCATCAGTGTGGAGAGAGTTTCAGCTGTAAAGTAAGCCTCTACACTCATGTGAGACTTCATACTACAGAGAAGGCTTTCACCTGCAAACTGTGTGGGGATAGCTTCTCACAAAATGGAAATCTTAAGTCACACATGAGAATTCACACTAGAGAGAAGCGATTAGGGTGCACAGAGTTTCAGACGTAACCCTTGAGTCACACATGAAAAGTCCTTACAACTGTAAACTCTGTAGGATCATAGAAACGTGTTATTTACTACTATAAAGTGACATGACTGGGGATGTTTTTTGGTACCAGAAAATATGCATCTCTGTGAAATGAAGGTAACACTGTGGAAAGAGTTTCACAATAAAAGGAAACCTTAATGAACACATCAAAATTCACACCGGAGAGAAGCCGTTCACATGCCAACACTGCGGAAAGAGTTTCGTTAAAAAAGGAACCCTTGATCAACACATAACCATTCATTCAGAGAAGCCATTCCCATGTGATCAGTGTGGAAGGAGCTACAAATATGAAGAAAGCCTCAAGTCCCACAAGAGAGTTCACACTGGAGAGAAGAGAGAACATTCAAGAGAGAGCGGTTTTGTGTGTCATCAGTGTGGAGAGAGTTTCAGCTGTAAAGTAAGCCTCTACACTCATGTGAGACTTCATACTACAGAGAAGGCTTTCACCTGCAAACTGTGTGGGGATAGCTTCTCACACAATGGAAATCTTAAGTCACACATGAGAATTCACACTAGAGAGAAGCGAAAGCCTCAAGTCCCACAAGAGAGTTCACACTGGAGAGAAGAGAGAACATTCAAGAGAGAGCGGTTTTGTGTGTCATCAGTGTGGAGAGAGTTTCAGCTGTAAAGTAAGCCTCTCTCTACACTCGAGACTTCATACTACAGAGAAGGCTTTCACCTGCAAACTGTGTGGGGATAGCTTCTCACAAAATGGAAATCTTAAGTCACACATGAGAATTCACACTAGAGAGAAGCGATTAGGGTGCACAGAGTTTCAGACGTAACCCTTGAGTCACACATGAAAAGTCCTTACAACTGTAAACTCTGTAGGATCATAGAAACGTGTTATTTACTACTATAAAGTGACATGACTGGGGATGTTTTTTGGTACCAGAAAATATGCATCTCTGTGAAATGAAGGTAACATTCACACTGAAGTTGAATGTGGCCCAAATCTGATTGTCCACCTTCATAACCATTTGCATTCTTTGCCTCTATAACTTTTTTTTTTTTGGCTTTTTTTTTTATCTTGTGCATATGAACTCCTGTGGCTGCACCTGACCATCTGCTTTGCTATAGCTCAGTTGTTATCAAATGTTTTTTTGGGTTACACTTTTTATTTAATTTGTAAAATGTAATTACACACTTAAGTACTGAGTTATACTAATTAACTACATGTACTTAATATATGGTTAGGATTAGGGGTTGGCTTAGGGTTGCTTGCATGTAATTATGAATAATTTATTGTTATTATAATAGTAAGAACGTGTAACAAGGAAACCTTAATATAAAATGTTACTTTTTTTTGTCCCAAGGTCCACCTTCGTGATTATGAAATTTATCTTTAAAACTTTGCAGGTTTTTACATTTACACACAGTTTTATTGCACCCTGAACTCTTATATCTGAAAAAGCATACATTTTATTGACTTCTGTCTTTCTGAGACATGCTGCAATGTAAATGAAAGATTATAAATAACAGGATGTGAGTAAAATAAATGTTAAACTGCATTATTTGATTAATCTTTAGTGAATGCACATAAGTGGAGTCACAATTTAGGTTCAGCCCAACAGAGCTGAGCTCCTCTCTGAATATACAAACGGGTATCTTCCTGGAACCCAGCTACTTGTCCTTCAGTATCATAGTGTCAGCAGAAGCATTAAAGTCACCTAGAGTGGTGAATAAAAAGAAATGCAGTTCGCTCTAATTGAGAGCCATGTTGGGCAGATATGAGACTGTCCCACTTGTTTTTTCACTGAACATAGTCCCGGACAATGCTTTATCAATCAGCGTCAGAAAAGTGTATTTGAGTCGGTGTCAGTTAAACAAATGCATACAGACTGTCAATATGGCGAGTGGTACAAATCATTACACATGTAAAAGTGTTTCTGTTACAGAACTCGTTTGAGATTGTTAGTTAACGAGAAAATAGCTATGAAACAACTTGGCCACAACAAGCCAGATATAAAAATCATACAACAAACAAAGGACAACGGTGAGTCATTCAATAATACGTTTTTTTCAGGTCAAGGTACATGTTGGATTGCATGCTTGATGTAATGCAGGGCCACATTATAGTTGTGTAGATTTCTTTGCTTAAAATATATCAGCGAAGCTGCTCAGCCTAAGTGAAAGAGCGCACCTAAATTACAGCGGATTGCATATGATGTTTGCCACACTATAATAGCCAATGCCAAATACAGTTCTCTTTCATCATCTTGTGTGTGAGATCCACCAGTTGGAAGAGCATCCATACCTGATCTCTGCAGAATTATCCAACTGCACCAAGTCTGGCATGATAGAGAGGAGCGCGTGCCCAATGCTGGGTAAGGGACCGCCCCTTACCAAAGTGCATAAATCATGTTGCGCACGTTACCTTTACTCTGCTTACATTTGCTTTTTGTGACCTCTGGACTGTTTTTCTCACAGCTTGTTTTTTCTTGGACTTTCAGATTTTGTCTCAAGAAGGAAATATTGCTCAGGATCAGCTGAGCAATATTTGCTCATGATCACACTTCATATTAGGCATATCCACCTTTTTCCCGCTCAATTTTTCAGTCACATGGCTACCAGCCATTGGATTTTACTGCCCATTTCACCATGGTGCTCTCCAAATCTGCATCTTCTTCTGGCCATAGCCTGTTGCATACCTGCCACATGTTGCAGGGTCATCGCCGCTAAAGATTCACATGCCTTTTGCACAATCTGGGATTCAAACACATTGAGGTAACTCTGAAATTCCCTTAAAATTGTATCATTAGCTCTCAGCTTGCCAGGCTGAGCTTCTCATCAACCGCTTCTCCAGGCTTCATCCTCTAGCTCACAAGCTGGAGGTAAGGAGCAGGTGACACTTTCTGACATTACAGGCGCCCCATATCCTGGGCATCCTGAACAGGGGCGCAGACCTCTTGTTGAGGGGGAACCCACTCTACGGAGACTGGTGCTTCTCTCTTCAGATAGCGAGTCTGCTGTGGGAGAAATTCAGTCAGGCATCCGTCAGTCTCTTTTTCTTTGTGCGGAAAAGACTATTGTCCTATATTGTCATAAGCATGGACGCAGTGGCCCACCTGTGGCCCGATTTGCCTTTGCCTGATAGTGCCGACTCTGGCCAGGGGGAGACAACAGAGCCTGACTCTGATTTTGATAGCATCCAGATGGCCCAAACACCATGGCTTGCAGAGATTATTCCTCTGCTGTATGCCTAGTCGTGGTCCCTCCCATTATGCACAGATCTCCTGTCCCAAGTGAACTGGGTTAGTGTACCACCCTCACCCAGACGGGCTTGTGAGAGGACCAACTTAAACACATTGGGGCTCCCTCCACACGTTATTGAATGCTAGGGCCTCCTCTAGACGTCATTTTATGACGGTAAGTAGCATCTGTTTGAGGAGTGGTGTGAGGGGCAGTGACTGATATAATAATTAATTACATTCATATAGCGCTTTTCTGCTTTTTCTAAGCACTCAAAGCGCTTTTACATAGTGAGGGTGTATCTCCTCATCCACCACCAGTGTGCAGCATCCACCTGGATGATGCGACGGCAGCCATATTGCACCAGAATACCCACCACACACCAGCTTACTGGTGGAGAGGAGACAGAGTGATGAAGCCAATCAGCAGATATGGGGATGGTTAGGAGGCCATGATGGTCAGAGGCCAATGGGCTAGTGATAATTTCGTTGACGAAAAATGTTTGTTGACTAGCTTTTTTCCCATGACTAAGACGAGACGAAGACGAGACGACAATAAGGTCAATAAACGATAAATATGACTATCAACATGCAATTTTGTTGACGAAATAAAATGACTAAAATGTATAAAAAAAAATAAAAACTTTTAACAAATACCTCTTTATTTTCATCAAAAAAATGAGACAAAATGTTATTGCGGACTGCTCTACACGCCTCTACTACGCGAGCTCTCATGAGTGCGGTTGCCAGATATCAAAAGTTCAAATCCCCGAATAAGAGCTTCGCTGTTACAAGCATACATTTTGGGCCCGGTGTTTTGCTTATTTTAAGCAATCTGGCAATCCGCCTCATAGCTAAAATGAAAGTGTGGCTGCGTCTGAAACCGCCTACTCAATGAGTACTTACTTACTTAACGAGCGCTAAAAGAGTAGGTACTCTACAGCCAAATCTTGTTAAGTATGAATGCGATCCAGGCTTCATCCGCCTTGTTGACATTATCATGTGATCTACGACGTTATAACAAGCGCGACAGACACGAGCAACAGGTTTAATTGATCTCTCTGTAAATATTTAGATGTTTATGAAATGTCCTAATTTTGTGGTCTTGTTGAAGAAACAGCTGCCCTTTTATTGTGATTGTAGTATAACTATTTTGGGTTGATTTAAATTTTTTATTTTTAACCCTACTAATATGACCCACAGTTTAATCCTTAAATATATTATTTATTACTAAAACCCAAAATCGTTATCTCTTGAATATGTTGTTACTTTATTTTATGTGCAAAATTTTTCATCCATAAGCAAAACCGGCTTAAATTTCCTTTATTTTCCTCTTTTTCTTGTTGAATTTCTCTTGTTTCATCCCTCCGGCTTATAAACAACAACAAATGCAATATTTTGATGAACTGATTATATGAATATTATGATTATTTAAAGATATTTAACCTTGTTATTGTGCTTTGTTTTCTGTGCATATAATGTATGCAAACCCATTATATTTATGTTTTCTTTGTAATATCTGCACAAAGGAGACGTCGATCAGCTGCTAGAAGATCTCGCCTTTGGAGAAGACTGTTAATTTTTCACTCGAAAAATGTAAGTATTACTACTTAGAAGTTAAGATCACCCCAGAATGCATTGCTAGCCCACCCCAACACTTATGAACAATAATAATGATAAATGCTGACCAATAATTAGCAAAATGTAATTTGTTTTGTCATATGCCATAGCTATTAAAATAGATTACTTATATTTAGTTACTTTATGGAAATGTATTTACATTACTTACATTCATCTATTGCAAACAGTGCTGACAACAGCAAATTGCACTACACAATAACACACATATACATCACTCAGGTGTCTACTTCATATCTAGGACCTATTAGACATACTTCTATAAAATTCATATCGAAGATTTTCCTACCAGATATTAAATAGACATTTAGTAATCGTATTTAAGATGTATATGGTTTAAAATGTATGTAAATCTACTTTGGAGATGTACGTGTGCTTCCTGGAGCCCCCCTGTTAGCTATACATAATAAAACGTGTTTTTACAGCAACATCACAACTATACTATACCATTTAGCATCTTTACACTTTCAACAATTTGCTCTAAAGTAGTTCAACAAATGCGAATTTAAAATAAGGAACCGTGTTTTTGGTTTGTAATACGTACATTTGTAAACGCCCTCATCCAAATGTTCCGTCATGTTCGAATATGGCGCATCCTCTTCTTCTTCTTTATGATGTATCCTCTCGCGTGGCCTCCTGGGATAGAAAAGTAACCATCGGCGAGCACTCAAGAAGCTGGGCAGAAGCAGTAGGACATCCGGGAACTTCTCGACTACTCTTTTATGAATACTGAGGTTTCGGACATACTTATTCACTCGGCTACTGCTTTCCCCTACTATATAGTAGAGAAGCAGGCGGTTTCGGACGCAGCCACTGGTTTGCTCAAGCCTTTCAACATAATTGACTCAAAAGAATGAATCATTTGCGAATGGGCATCGCTCATTGCCCAGAGAAAAGTAGACGGCGCGTTTAGATCATACTGAAGCATTTTTAACTTATATTGCATTAAGATAAAGTAACAGAGCATCGCCCACAGTAACGAAGTAAAAGTAGCGTTTTTTCACTAAAAGTGTACTTGAGTAAAAGTACCCATCTTTAAATATACTCTAAAAGTAATAGTTACCCAAAAAATATACTCAAGTAAATGTAACGAAGTAAATGTAACTCGTTAGTACCCACCTCTGGTCGCCAGAAGTCGCCAGCTCTCCATTGAGAATGAATGGGAGCATGTCGCTTTGTGTCGCTGGCAGTGTGAACGGGGCTTCAGAGACGTTGCCACAGTTCTTCT